GAAATGATGATCTAGTCTTACTTGAAAAGCCAAAAAAATTATACAAACCAGTGTTAATAAGACTTCTCACAGTCAGAAATGGTGGCCCAGAATTGGAACGGTGCTGACTAATTATATTTTTCTGAGCTTTCTAAATCAGCAATCAGAATCTGCCTTCTTAAAAGAAAGCCTTGGGAAATGAAATAAATCCTTTCCATTTTTCATGCAAATCTATATTTACCCTTACTGTGAAAACAAGTTAATGCAAGAACATGTAAATGGGAAGCATAAAAATTCAGACAACAGTGTAAGTACAGTAAGTTAGAAAATATGTTACTGAATTAAAATCCTACTCTGTTAATCACTCAACAAAAGTCATACCTAAAAAAAATAGAAAACTTCATTTATCTTTTCATACTGTGCAAAAATATAAAAGACCACAAAAATACATTCTTTTAGAAAGAATCACTTAGCATATAGTTTAAAACAGTATAACGAATCTGGAATTTGCTCATCAAATACATGTAAGTGGTTACTTCATACTGATATTTGGCTTAATATTGGTAAGACACGTTATGTGATCTAATGATTGATACTTACTAACTATTGAAAGAACCACAACACTAAAGTCAAACAGGTTCCAGCCGCTTCTGAAGTAGTACTGCCTTAGGCCCAGTATCTTTATGACGCATTCCGCAGCAAACACCACCACAAAAAAATAGTTGATTTTATTCAGGGAAGGCTTGATGCTGTTCTCGTTATTTTCTGCCATCATAACAACCATATTTAGACAGATGAAAATCACAATGGTGATGTCAAATGCTTTGTGCGACACAATATCAAACAGCAGTCCTAGGAATGCATTCTGTGGAAAGAATGAGAAGAACTGCTTCATGCTAGTTCTAAGACCCAACCTGCATTCAAATATTAATCAGGAATTTGTGCTTAGAAAAAGAATTTAAGATAATATAAAGATAGCAATAAGCTACCAAAAGCAATTTTAGGCGATTTTGTTAAACCTTCAAAGAAAACACATAGTACTTGGCTAAGTATTTTCAGACATCATGTAAGCACGTTGGCTTAGAAAAAAAAATATACAGCAGGGAAACATTGTGATTGCTCTCTTAATAAAAATACTTATTGAAGCAGATATTTTAGGATAAGAAATTCTAATTAAAATGTCATAAGCAAGGAAAACTGAATAGTTACTATGTGAAGACAGGCCTGGAATTAAATTTAAGGGACTATAAGCACAAGATTATTTAAAAGCAAGTAACAGCCACGGGACATGTACTACTCTCTATTCATTCTCACCTGCAATAATCCAATCTAGCTGCAGAATCAACATCATGCAACTTAAGCAACCAAAATCATGTCAAGAATATATGAACTTTTATGAACAGGCTGTACATTTGAATAGGTGATAAATAGGCTGTAAATTTCCTTAATTAATAAACACAAAAAAGACTGTGCTAGATGGAATTTAAAAAAAAAAAAAAAAAAGAGAGAGTAAAAGTAAATACTACATTGAATGAGGAAGATAATAGAGTTTATAGTTAATGCAAACTTTATTTCCAGATGTCTGGCTACTGAGTTTGGTCATGATCGTTATATCTTCTGTCATATTCAGCTTAAGATGGTCTCACCGATGGTCTTGGGATGGGTTTTTGAGGCTTCTTGGACCCAAGTTTTTTTAGGGCATTATAGTACTTTTTCTGTTCCTCTGTCAAAAATAGATCCTTTCCACCTAAGTAAAGAGAAAGAACATTGCTGTTCAGCTGAAGTTTAAGCAGTCAGCTAAATAAAGACCAACAAATTCATCTACAAAAGAGTAAGTTACAGCTGTCATGAGTGGAATCTAAGAGAGAACAGAGACAAAATGTGTCTTCACCATTTTTCCTTTTCCCCTTGTTCTTTGAGAAGGTATACTGCAGAAAGCTGATCAGGGTTTGACCATTAAAGTCTAGTCTAGGCAATGTTCCCAAGTCAGTTCCCTCAAGTGACGGAGTTGAGTTCCCTCAATAGAGCCTTTCTGAATTTTTACAAACCTATTTCATGTTTTAAAAATGAGATAAGTTTCGTCAACAAGTAAAATATTTTATGTTTTTGGGAAAGGTAGAAATAGAAGCATATTGCTCAGGAAGCAAGTAAATGAAGGACGATGAATAAGCACTTTGGGACCAAGTTCTACAGGGGGTTCTTGACAATGAATTTCTTATTAGCATCTGCACCACCTGTATTAGGTAACAATGACTTTGAACTCAATATTCAGAAGCCACTCATCATAAAAGTATTGAGTGATCAGTATTTTGTACAACAAACACACAACAATGTTTGGTAGGGCATCTGCAATTTGAATCACTCTGGCAAGACCTCCAAAAATTCCATTTAACTTCACTCAATGAAAATCCCCAAGAAGCAGCAAAGAAATGAGAGAGAAAAAAACCAAAAGAGAAAAAAAGTCAATTACAGCACATACAATGAAAAGAAACAAGTGTTACATCCACATAAACTTCTAGCAAATGTTCAGGCTCATAAACTACTTAACCAGTGTAGTTTCTACCTATTGGAATTATTGTAATTGGGACTTAGTTATAAAAGGAAATTCTTACAGTGAATTTGCACTGTTGTTCTTCAATCCCTACATATCCTTTCTCTGCTCAAAGGCAGAAAGCAGGATAATTTCTTGTGGGCTTTATTGCTATCTCTCTCTACCAAGGGCAGTAATGCTGTGACACTTGGTGTATAAATCAGACTATGGAAATAATAAATGGTTTCTGCAGAGATTCTGTCTTCCAAATGCGAACCTGGAAATTGTAACCTCTTGTTGGGGTCTGCTTTAATGGCAATAATAAGCAAGACGCTTATTTGTTTTAAGACTTCCAAGTGGAGGAATTGACTCAATTTCCTCTGACATTCTGGGTACTTTAAGCCCCTAAATGAATTAGGAGTTAACTCAATTGACAAATAAGCTTGGCACAAAGAAACTGAAGTATACCAGGGAGGCATGACTGTTGCATCCCTTTGGTTATTGCATTTTCCATCCTAATATTTTGCTTTCCATTTCTTACTGAATAACAAGAGGAGAAAAGTGGAAGCAATCAGTGCTTCATGGGTTTTAAGCGACCTTTAAATTTTTGGACGGTCTCTTCCTGGGGTCATGGCTTGGATCCAATGCAGAATTTTTTTCAACTCCAGTAAATTAATCTGTAGGGTTAATTTATAGATGAGAGGCTTTTTAAAACTTAGCTAGTTTTCGAAGTTCTGATTAACAAGACCTTTTCAAGTTCCTTTACCAGGAAAGCAGAGGTTACTTCTCCCATGAACAGTTGTGTTTCTTGATTATTCTGATCACATTTGTTAGGTGTTTACTCTCAGCAAATAGTGTTATTCTGTTCTCTAAAGCAAATCTTCAAAGCAGAAAAGAATTCCACCCTCCTGTAGCAAAGCCTATGAAACTTTTTTTGGCTTCTCTTTTCTTGCATTATTTTTAATTCATCCAATCAAATAGTTACTTCAAAATGTTAGACATATAGATGTCAAAACAGCATCCACTTAATCAAATTAAGATTAAAGGAAACCCTGAGTTAGCTCATAGAGTACTTATCTTTTTCCTTTGTTGGTTAAAATTGCTGATAACCACTCCAATGAAAAGATTCAGCATGAAAAAAGATCCAAAAATAATGAAAACCACGAAGTATATATACATGGGTAAGCATGCTTCAAACGTCGGCTGTTCATCGATCTGTTAAAAAAAAATCAAACCAGAAAAATAATATTGGTAAAAATGAGATAATCACAGCTTTATCATTTCCAATTTATAATAACAGATCGTTTTAGTGTCATGAGGGATAAATTATTTCTACACATATAAACTTATATCTAGATGTACAAGTAGAACAACTGTCATGTTCTTTCTTAAGTTTGCAAAGATAATGATGAAGCTATGACAAAGCTATATAGCCATATCCAGCTCTAGCAAATTTTTGAGTAATAAATAGACAGTTCCAATCAGAAGGGCTCCTGCAAATGACTGAATTAGAAAAACAATTCAAGAGTAACATAATGGTGAAATGCCATCCTCTTGAATGTAGTTTTAAAACCCCATGTCCCTAGGGAAGAAAACCTGCAGAAAGAACTGCTAAAGCTGCAGCCGTATGCTGGTTTGGGCTGAAACTAGCAACTTTCTTCAAAGTGGCTAGTATGGGGCTATGCTTAGGATTTGTGCAGAATACAGAGTTGATAATGCAGAGATGTTTTTGTTATTGCTGAGCAGAGCTTACACAGAGCCAAGGCCTTTACTGCTTTCCGTACTGCCACGCTGGCAAGGAAGTTGGGGATGCATGGGAGATTGGGAGGAGACACAGCTGGGACAGGTGACCCAAACTGACCAAAGGGATATTCCATACCATAGGACATCATGATCAGTATATAAAGTGAGAGGAAGAATGAGGAAGGTGGGACACCTGGAGTGATGGCATTTGTTTTCCCAAGGAACTGTTATGTGTGATGGGGCCCTGCTCTCCTGGAGATGTCTGAACACCTCCTGCCCATGGGAAGCAGTGAATTAATTCCTTGTTTTGCTTTGCTTGTGTGTGCAGCCTTTGCTTTCTCTATTAAACCATCTTTATCTCAACCCATGAGCTTTTCTAGCTTTTACCCTTCTGATTCTCTCCCCCATCCCGTTGGTGGGGGAGTATGTGAGCGGCTGCGTGGTTCTTGGCTGCTAGCCTGGGTTAAACCACAACAAGGCATTTCAATTCCACTGTACATGCTTATAAAGAAAGATTTGCTTCACAAGCACAGTCCCTCCAAGACCTTCTGTATTCTGTTTCCAACACAGACTTGTACAAAACTTTCAACATCTTGCCCTCTGCATTCTTGATACAGCAGGTTTTTGTGTGGGGTCACTCTATTATGACCACTTTCTTTTGTGTAAATTCCAGACATTTGGTATTCCACAGATTATTGTTTCACTGTGTAGCTTGATGCATTTATCCAATTCTATTTTTGACTTGGTATTGCAAGCAAAGTTGAAAAAATGAATTGTAGGGATAGTGAAGGGAAGAAGAAAAGGGAAAAGAACCAAAATTTCATCTTGGTGACGTACCCCACGTGAATCCACTGCTGCATACATAATGTCCATCCAACCTTTAAAAGTCGCCTGAAAAAAATGTATTAGTAAGTTTATTATCACTAGGGAAAAAAATTAGGTATAGCTAATATAAATGTGTTACTAGTTGTGGAAATGTGAGTATTGTGCTATAAAAAAGGCATTCATCGTTTCTAAAGATCTGCTTGGAAGTATAATTCACTGGAGCTTAGTAAAGAGAAAAGGAAATAATTGCTGAAAAGAAATAAAGTCATGAATTCTGTGAGATGTGCTTTAGTGTTACCTCTTCTTAAATTGAAATTTTTGTGGAAAAAAAATTAAAAGCAGTAGAAATTTTATCTGAACTAACAAATCTAACCTAAAAGGATAAAATGAATTTCTAAGAAAACAGCAGATGTTTCCTTCCTGCAATTTTTAGCAACTCTGCAGAAGCATCCAACACTTTGGAGGATACAGGGCAAAGAACTTCATCTAGAAAAGATACAGGGATAGCAGCCACTTTAAAAAATGCCATTCTCTCCTTTGTTGTGGTATTATGGAGCTCAATAAATTAGTATCCCAGTATTTCATGACTTCTACGATAAAAGAAAATATAGGGATATAAAGAAACTCTGCCATGATTTTTCTTTCTCTCTGAACTAACGTTTACTAGAGGAAATGAGAATAACTTTAAATCCAGTAACGCAGAGACTGTTTCAGGCTTAGTATGTCAATCAAAAATGTAAAAAAAAATTCAAACAAAACTGAAAAGTCATGAAACAGTTCTTGATTTTAACACAAAGTTGCCTATGCTAAAGTGCTTTTTTAGGAGGAACTGAGCAGTTTACAGATAAGAAAAATATATATGGAAGCTAAAAAAGTCCCAAATCTCAGTGAGAGAAACAGAAGCATAGTGGTGTTGCATGGTTGGGCCACTCAACTCATTTCCTTGAAGAAAACAAAAGTAAACATGTTTTAATAGAACTCACCACTTGGAGAAGAGCCAAGTATCCCATCCCAACATTATCAAAGTTTACAATGTTATTTGTCCATTTTCCACCATGGAAAGTACAATCACTTTTGTTGCTAATATTGACATTTTTGTCCTCTAATATGCATTTTGAAAATCTTTTTCCAAGCCATTTTACTCCTACAATGTTAAACAGGAGCCAAAAGACAACACAGACGAGCAGAACGTTGATGATTGAGGGGATAGCTCCGAAGAGTGCATTCACAACAACCTTAATGAAATGAATGAAAAGAATTAATTATTCACATTCACTAGATCACCTTTCCCACAAAACCGCTGATCTTTTTCTTCTTCTGTATCTATTGAAGCTTCTGATCCATACAAAAACTAATAAATGACAAAGGTACAGCCAGCCCTCAGCCCAAATTCAAGCTTCTTTTAACATATAATTCTATGGTATCTGTCTTGGATTTTTCAGGAAGGAAGTAAAACAGATGGCAACTAGAACTATCCTTGGGTAAAAGAAATACATAACATGAGTCTGTAGTAGCTCAGGGATCTAAGAATCAGATGTCACAAAATGGGTTGTGTGATCTGCATTTACTACGCTATCATAAAAAACCCTCTCCTTCAACTTGGAGGGTTTTGTAAGAGAACATTTGTACCTTTAACCTCCTCTTCTCCAAACAGAATAAGCTCTGCCTAAGCAATTAGGCAGTACTGGTCCAAGGAATGACCTCTGAGACACTAGCAAGCAGCTGCCAGCTGAACTTCATCCTGATGGTCTCTGCACATTGAACCTGGCAGTTCAGCCAATTTTCTGCCCAGCTCATAGTTCACCTATCCAAATTAGGTATAACCAATACCTGAGACAATGGATGGCTCTTCCCTCCCTCATCCATCTCATCATAGGACAAAAATCAGGTTCAAAAGGCAAAAATTGCCCTTCCTAAATTCACTCTGGCTGTTTCTAACTGATTTCTTCTTGCCCTTCATGGATTCCAGTAGGATCTGCTCCATGTCAAACTCAGGGCCTGAAGTCAGTGTCTCATCACATTCTGTGAGCTAACATAGGTCAGATGATTTGTATTACACATTTTTTTACTTCTTTCCACTGACTTTAAAGATTCCACATCCCTTGGAGGAGCTTTTAAAATTGAGTTAAAAGAAGCCCCTCTGCTATTAAGAAAATTCCATCCTATTTAACTTTTAAGGATTATCTTTCAGATCTACACTGGAAAATCCAAAATATGGCACATGGGCCTGTCTAGTTACCTGTCAAGATGAATTGATACAAGCATAGCAATCTGAAGAAGGGGAATTATGAAAAGGAGTTAGAGAAGTGAATAGTTTCCACTGAAGCAATGATCTAATGAATCCATTTTCCCAGTTCCCAAACTCTTGCCTCAGGCAATGAGAAATAAATTAAGAAAGGATTGTGGCCACTACATCTATTATGCCATGAAGACTGATAAGATACAATATTCACAGTACACATTTCTGCTTTGGTTTACAGTTTTTCTGTTTATATACATATAGTTTCTTTTCTACTGACAAGTAATTAAAACCATTCCTAATATTTCAAGCATATTCACTTTTTTTCAGAAGAATTTTCCAAAGACACTGGATTAAATTCTTCCATGTCTGAAATAGACCAAAGAAAAATTCAAGTCTGGAAGAATTTTTCAGAAAAATACAAGTCTAAAAGAATTCTTGTTCAGTTTGTTCTGCAAATTGCATTGAAACTAGAAACAGTATTCACATTACTATATGTAATAATTCCTTGTGGTAGCACATAGTAATTCAATGTCCTTATTTCATTTGTATTGATAAATTTCTGTTGAAGTGTAATGTATTATTTCAAAATAACAGCCAGAAGATCTAAGTAGGCAATCTGAACCAGCTTAATGTCATCAAGTCCCAAAATAGAGATTCAAGTTGCAATTTTCACAAAAAAACTTCAAATGCAGCTATTGCAAAATATACACACGGACCCCCAACCCCCTTACCTTTATCCCCTCAAATCTTGACAGAGCTCGTAGAGGCCTCAATGCTCTCAAAGTCCTTAGAGATTTCAGGCTACTCCCAGAGGAACAAGGTGATGACTCTTCAGAAGCATTATTTTGTCCCCAGGAAGCAAATGACAGCTGTGTTCATTGAATTGGAACTGGGATTATTAAATGGTATGCAAAATTTATTTTATTTGTGTTAGTAGACAATCCTAACCGGAATGCTACAATATCTTTGACCAGTAATTCAAATTAAGAAAATACACATTCAAAGTTATCATAATATAATTTTACTTCATTCTTTTCTAATACATGGAAGAAAGTGGAATTCCTTAATTCTAATTTGAATTTATTTTCCTTTTTTTTTTTCCAAAACCAGTGAATATTTTTTTTGAATGCTAATGCAACAACCAAATTGGTAACTATGGTAGTTTCATACACTATTAGACTAGAAAGGATTATTCAAATAAAATATTCCCATTTTCTACACAGTTATTCTCTTCAGTGTATAAGGTAATTTGTTATCATATGGAAACAAAAATTATTTTTAATAATGCATCCACTCTTCACTTTAAACTTTTCTAAGGGAAAATGAAATGAAAACATCAGAAAATTATGTATTAATTAATAATTAGAGGGTTTTTCCACCATTCATGATTTCTCTTTTCCTTCCTAGTTCCTCCAGCATTTGCTGTCTCATTGTCCAGCAATTAGATATTTTCAAGCTTTTCCACTGTTTTGGGCAGCACTGCTTTTAAGATGTGAAAACTACAATTGCTAAAGTCATGCTATATGTTCTTTATAAATGGTCATAATCCTAGATTTTTCTCTTGAAATTTCTTAGCCCTTCACAATTACCAAAGCTGACTATCCTGAGGCTATCAAACAGCTACTTTGATATTACCAGAACTCAGTTGTTTGGATGTCCTGCTCTAAAATATTTAACTTTGGGACCTGCCCAGTGCTGAGTACTGTGTCCAGTTCTAGGCCTCTCACTACAGGAAAGACACTGAGATGATTAAGCCAATCCAGAGAAGGGCAACAAAGCTGGTAAAGGGTCTGGAGGGTAAGTCCTATGAGGAGTGGCTGAGGGAGCTGGAGATATTTAGCCTGAAGAAGAGGAGTCACCATTCCTACATGTGAAAAGGAAGGACTGGACAAGGCACTAGAGCCATGGTGTAATTGACATGGTAGTGTTAGGTCATAAGCTGGACTCGATGATCTCAGAGGTCTTTTCCAACCTAATTGATTCTGTGATTCTGTATTGTAGACAAGCAAATAGATGTAATTTCTACACATAAGATTATAGTTATTAACATTGAACTCATAATAAATATATATGTATTGAACAGTGCACTTATCTCACTATTGGTGATTTCAGCATTTTTCTTTATAGCTGTGCAAGGATTGCTGGGATTTCCTTTTTGCAAAGCAAAAGATACTTTACTATTTCTTTAACTCTCTGGTAAATGATTTTTCCAACTTTTCAACTCCCTTTACCATATAAATTTATTCTCCTTCAAGGAAGCAACTCCACCTTTTTTTTTGTTTCTAAATGCCAGAATCACGGAATCATATAATGGTTTCTGTTGGAAGGGACCTTAAAGATCATCTAGTTCAGAGTTCCCAGTAGGTTCACATTTTTCTATTGTCTTCATTAATATATTTTAGTTTATTTATCATCGCTAATTGAACACACTCTCTCTACACTTGATAAGTGTTTTAGAGCCATCACAGTCCTCAGTGATGGTGATACCTAATAAAATTTTCTTAAGAAACTTCTGGCTATTGCTGACAATTTCCATTTAAATTTGCCCTAAAGTCTCTTTGGATTGCAGGTTTTTCAGCTTTTGGAAACTGTTTTTTACACTTGTATTTATTAATAATCACAATTTAAATGTAATTCTCTAGATAGAAAATATCAAAAACCAAAATGTATGACAAGCTGAATATAATACTTACACATACAATGGCAAAGTCAAGCAAACACCAGGAATTTGTGAAATAACTGTGCAAACCATAAGCTACCCATTTCAGAAGCATCTCCATAAAAAAGACGTAGGTAAATATTTTATCAGCATATTCTAGGATAATTTTCACTTTTTTTCTCTTCTGCAGGTGAATATCTTCAAATGCCTGGAATTTCAGAATTCATTTTTAAAACAGATCATTACTTTTAAGAAAAATTAGTTTTAAATTACTCAAGAATACACAGTTTGGCTTATTGTAACCATTTCATATTAAATTATGGGCACCACCACTTAGATTTATACTTGGAAATGAAAACTAAAATTGTAAAATAAGTACAATCTCATTTTCAGGTTGGTCAAAATATCACATACTTTCAGTTGTTTATGCTCAACACCTCTTCACAAAAAGTCTGATGAGGATGAATTGTGGCTACCAAAAATGTTGGCTTCTCAAGTTAGCTGAAAATTTTGAAGGCTTCGGTCTAAAATTCTTCACAATAAAGCTTGAGTTAAACACAGTAACCACTGTCTTTCAGACCCAGACTCCAAGTGAGTCATCTTTAGTCAGCCTGAAGAGTTGTAATACAGAAACCAAAAAAGAGATGACAAACACCTTATCAGGATGGAGTTTCACATTATTTCACCTAAACCTTGACCTTGAGGGTTTACTGTTGTTTGCATCAGTGTTTTCTCATGTTTAAGGTATTTGCTGCATTGCTAATTTATTTTAAATTTTTGAGATTGACAATCTATTCCTTTTAACACCTTCCATTATTTCCTCACTGAGCCTCCAGCAATGTCTTTATTCTTCCTTTCATCCACTTCTCCCTTACCTTATAGCCTTATCTCCACTTCATTTATATATTATAGCAGACCTGATTTGCTCTCCTGTACTTATGACATGCCAAACCCAGTGTAAAAGGCTACCAGTAAGGGGGAGCAGGAGCATAACAAGGTGTTTAGGTCAACTGAGACCTGAAACCATAAAATCACGTGTTTCCATTTCATATTCCCACTGAAAACACACAGGGCAGAGATGCTCCTATGTATAGTTATCAACGACCTGGTAAAACTTATACAATCCTGCTCTGCAGTGTGAGAAAATTTTGATACTGCTTCTGGAGCTAAGGAATCTTTCAATTGTGCTACAATTAGGAGAAATGTCTGCATAGCAGAGCTGTCACTGTCCATGAGACTGTTAACTTGAGTGTGGGCAATTGAGAACTGGCATTCATGTACATAAAACTATATACCATTTCTGACCTTTTGTCTGAGCAAATTTGATAATTAGTGTTGTCTTTTTCACTGTTAAACCTTGGCTACCCTGATCTCCATCTACTAGACAAAAGTGTTCATTAACAGTGATGCTTTTTCAGAGTTCTAACTACTTTTTTTCCTAACTTTTCTAAGTTTCTAACTACGCTTAATTGCTACTGCTTAAAAAAGTTAGAAGCCACTTAAGTTTCTAACTACTCTCCCTTTGCTTTGAGCACTGAGCACTCACTATGTGCTTTTCTGTGCCTCTTCCTATCATCACTATCTCATTTAATTTCCTTTCAAGCCCTGGATGTGTGTGATGGTATGGGGTCCCTTCATTCTACCTGGTTCAGAAAATTCCATAACAACAAACAACTTAATAAACAAAAAATGGACAAGTCCATTTTTGCACGAGGACAACAGAATCTTTGAAATGTGAAAGTTCTCAACACCACAAAACATCTTTGATGAAAAGAAATTGAGATTGTTTTGTTATTTTGCATCTGGGTGCCAATAAGCTTTGTGTTCAATTTAGTCAGATCCTGTAGTACATTAAGCAATAAATGGGTTTCCTTCCTTACTTCAGTTTGGTTTCACATGAATACAGAGGAGCCCTCACAGGAATCCCAGGGAGCTCCCTTGGAGATTTTGCCACAGGAATCTTAGAGCAGACAGTTCAAATCTATGGTTCAGTGAACAGCCTGAACTTAAGGTACACAGAACAGACTTAACTTGGAAAATTCTGACATCTACCATATAGATCACTTTTGGACTATTGGTTATGTTCCTTATGCATTATGTAACATTTATTTAACAAATTACTTTCAGTAGTTTTATTGAATATGCTTCCAAATACAATAAATCTTCCCTTATTCTTAAGAAGAAATGGATATAATCAGAGCAGCAATGAAACATTACCTCACCTACCAGTTTATGGCCATCTCCACTTTTAGATTCTGATTATAATGTTTGGATGATTTTGAATTTACATTTTTACTAAGCCGTTAGTTTGCTTTACAAATTTAGAAGTGCTATTGTTTTTTAAGCTTTCCTAAGTAAAGGTTTAGCCTTGTAATTAACACACAAGTGTGTGATCCCATATATTTTACCACTTATACCTAAACATCTTACCCAAGTAGGGGAAAGCCTTATAAATTCTAAGGGATACATTTATTATACTCCTGTTTCTCCCTGGGGAAAGGAATGCTGAGCAGAAGAAATCAAATAAACACTATTTATTTCCTTTACTGAAAAAAAACAATTCAAAATTTGAGAAATTAAATGAAATTTACCAGTGCTGCACTGCTCAATATTATCATAAAAATCACAAAATATTCAAACCCGCTATGGTTAACAATTCTGTAGCAGTTTTTTCTGAAATTCCACCAGATTCTTCCTGGAGACTTAGTGATATCCACTGTACAACATGGGAACCATTTAACACAGCCTGAAAAGTGAAAGAACAGCATATTTGTTCCATGGAAAATGTTGAGACATGGAATCTAAAAAGTATAAGACATCTTAAAAAGACCTTCTACAGACTATACAAAGATTGTGCTAATTACCTATGAGGTGATGTTGTGGATGAAATTATCTAAATCTAAAGAAAAGTCAAAATTTATATGCAAAAATAATCTCTTTTAATAGAGCAACACATACATGGAATAAAGAGAGAAGCTTTTGTGCTCTTCTGCAGAAGGGCTTGTGAGCACAAAGAAGTGCCTTTACTTCTATCTAAAAAGTGTTCATTTTCTGCATTTATTCTTTTTTGTTTTGAAAAGCAATACTGCCTTACTAGTGGTTTAGTAAATTATTATTTTTACCGATTATTTCACATTACTGCACGGCACAGACATTACAACTAGACTCCATGTTCACTGTTCTGTACCAGAAATATGATTCATTTATCTGTAAAGGCAGCAGGTTTGAACTGTGAGAGTCAGTGGAGTTCGAGGAGATGTTCAGGTAACCAAAGGTAGAGGTCCACCCTGGGATGATCAGGCAAACAAGTTTCTGCTAATTTGGACATGTTCTAAACTGGTATTATTGAACACTGGTTCATTTGGCATTAGTGCAATACACAAAAGATTCTTACTTTCTGAAAAACAGTTCTTAGGCAGATGTGAGTTTTCAGGCTGGGAAAACATCTCCAGAAGAACAACTGGATCTGCAGTGCTGGCTACAGAACAGCGACGTTTCTGCACAGGAGAAGGAGAAAGAAGAGAATTTATTTGCTTTTCATTAATAAGGTCACCATACATAAAATATATGAAACTAATCAACCCCCTAACCCACCTTCCCAAAAGAAATCTGCAGTGTATAAATTATCTTAATGCTGCTGAACTACCAAAATAAAATTACAACTAACAAGACAGAAAAAGCCAATCCCTACTCTTTATTTCCATGGCTTTAATTTAAGAAGTTTCTTAGTTTCTTCTAGTCATCTACACTAGACTTGCAGGAAGGGAAATGTTTAGAAAAGATTTATGAAAGATTAGCTACAGTTTCAGGGAAAATTCTGATCTCTTCACGCAAATCCAATCCTCTTCACTTTCAGAGATGCAACCTATGTCTCAAAAGCCTTGAAAATCAAAAAGACCATACATACATTTCTTTCCTGCTTGGAAGGAAATGCACATATGGTCTATGCACCTCAAAGAGCTGTGGTTATAGGTAGGTAACCTACACACCTATAAAACTAAAGACAATAAGAAAAGCAAGTATAAAGAAAAAGGAATGAAGAAATTTCTCAGCTGTAACGCGTAAGTGCCCTGTATGGAAAGGGTAGGCATGAGGATAGGGATAAGAGTGAGAAGCCAGAAGAAGGGAGAACTAAGCTAAGTTTCTATATCAGAGAAGTCTGGTTGTCTTGGGAACAATTGCTAGAGAACAAATTCTTTCATCTAAGGCTGGCAGCAAACAGAATTATTAATAAAAATGAATAGCATGGATCCAATAAGTAAGTGCGTTTCTTGGTTAATTTCTGTTTACTTAATTTGTACAAAAGAATAAGAGAATAAAGAAAATTTTTTTTACAAAGAGACTAAAGAAGTGAAAGGTAAAGAGATAAGACAAAGAGAGATAGGAGAAAAAACAAGAGAATAAAAGAGTAAGAATAACAATAAGAATAAAAATAAGAATAAGAATAGGAGACAAACCTCCATGCTATTATTGCCCTTAGATATATGTGTCATCTTCACACGGATTATACTTGCTACTCTTTGGAAAATCCCATCCTGTCCTGTTATTGCTGAATGAGAGAACCTCTGTTACAATTTTAACCTCTAGCATATTCCACAAGATGATAAAAGTTACAATTACCTCTTTTTGTTCTTTTTTTTTGTGTGTTACTGTGTAAACATTTACAGTTTCAGGAGTCCCAGAAATCTGATTGAAGCTGCTTGAATGCCGGAACGGTTCTCTATGCCTTAATCTATCTCCCTGCATGAAATAATGCAAAATCATTGATTTTCAATTTTTTTTCTTCCTGACACTCATTCTTAAACAACAAAATTCTTTAACAGAATCTGAAGCATCCACAAAAGTTTATAATCATATAATCACAGAATGGTTTGCATTGGAAAGGACCTTAAAGATAATCTAGTTCCAACCCCCGTGCCATGGGCAAGGACACCTTCCACTAGCATGTTTATATTTTCATTGATAATTAAGTGATACCTCTAAAATGCTTGTAAAATAATGGTTTCTTCCTCAATTTCAAATACTATGGTCCTGTGGTTTTACTGTGGAAATGCATCATTCCTCAAGATCTGCCTTTAGCCCACTGATGGATTCCTATATTCAATTAACCTCTGCAGGTGGACCCCAACAGCCTCATGCTTCCACTTACAGGCAGAAGACCTGAGTGATCCCAATCAGTTCTCAATCCATTTGCCAACACAAATTCCAAGCAATACCAGATTCCACTGCATCAGGGAATGAATTCCTGTCATCAAGTGCTTATGGACAACATTATTTCAAATAGCCACAGGTGATTCCAAGGTCATCAGGCATTTTTGCTTCTTTGAGAACTTGTCCAAAGATATTCAAATGAAGATGCCTCCTATTATGACCAAAACTATAGAAAATGGATCCTTGCAGTCCACCTAAACACTGACCATGTTCTAATCCGTTCAGAAATGGTACCTGCTTTTGACATTCCTGCCATGGCATAATACAAGGTAACTGCACTTTGAGCCCAAATGCCTGTTCTGAAAGATTTAAAATATGGTATTATCACAATCACAACACAAGTGACACTCATAGAACAGAATCTTGAACAAGCTAAGCTAGATACAGTAAAGTCATCACATCCTGAAGTTCCACCCGACCTTGCTGCTCACACATTTGGATGTAGTTTTCAGATGAGCTATGCCCCACGTTGCCACATGCTTACACCATCAATTTTATCTATTTATAAAAACCTACAGTTGCAACATCTCAGGAAAAATCATTCCTACTCGAATGTGGCAGCTGCAGAAATAAGCAGAAATGAGTAAAAATACTTAAAATCATAAGCTACCTTTCTGTAAGAGGCTTTCCATCTTGCTTTACGTGAAGAACCTGCAAACCAGCTCATTATTCTGTTGCATCAGCCAGGTTCTATTGGTACTTCCTACAGGTCTGAAAAAGGGCAATTTTTTTTTGGTTCACCCTCTGACAAAAGGTTCCAGGGAAGTTATGTTGAAGTCTGCTGCTTCTTATCCCTACTGCCTGTGAATAAGGCATGTTCTGAAAGAAATCACTGTGAGGTCTTTGTGTGCTGAGCTGAGCTGAAATTACTACTGGATGGTTCATACACAACAGTCGACGGGCTGAAAGGTATCACCATTACCTTCCATAGGCAAAAATATTTATGTAGGCATAAGAATCTCAGAGGATGACCCA